AAAAAAAGGACAAGTAAATTACCATTGGTTATAGGGTCATAAATCAACCTAGTTATAAAAGAAACGGTCTGTTCACTGTTTAGTCTACATACTGTATTGTGAAATATTCAGATAGAGATCACATCTAGATAAGGGACGTACCATATTTGAGATCACCAGAATAACGGATGCTAAAAGGTGGAGCTTGTAATAGCTGAAAGTTGATTCCTTGTGCTGTGCTCTGAAATAAAAGAGAAAAAAGAAACATCATATACAAAACTATAAAAAAAATTCCAAGGCAAAGTAGAACTCATACCAATGGGAGAATCAATGTGAATTTTGATAGCATCAACGAGATCAATGGAAGAAGTACTGGATGTGACCATTTCCGAAAGGATTTTGTAGACATTCTACCATTTAGCAATGCCAGTGAAACCTAGTCAGACAACGTGCAGGTGTAAATACATCACGAGATTAGGATATAAATGTTTGTCACTGAAGAATATATTACGCCAATAGTAATAATGAAACATCCATAAAACCAACCCAGGTTTTCAACGAAAATAAAGATCAGAAATGCCATAGAGTTTTGCACTGGTTAAAGATGACTGACATAAATTTAATAAACTTGCACAAATTTGTGATTCATCCATGGAGACAATCACAACAAACGTGAACCGTAATTGGAAGGTATAGCTTACACCATTTCTTGCAGCACCCATGATGAGATTGGGCCACAATTCACTTTCCATTAGCATAACAGCATCTGGCCTCCAGTATTGAAGGAAAGCATCCATACTAGACGGTATATCAAGAGGAGCAAACTGGTTTCACACATAGAATTACTATCATGGTCAACAATCATTCCCTTCGGTGCAAAGAATATCAGTAAATTCAACAAATTTCCACCACATAAAGGCTCTCTAACTACAAACATTACGCCTGGCTTGTTAGTGCGTATTAAGTTAATTAAACAAATAAAAAATTAAATAAGCATCACATCCCTCTATAAGATATAGAGACAAACTAATGTGGCAGTGCACGGGAATGGCAAACTAGAAACCAATAAACGAACAATAATCGAGACATTCTAATGTCTGTAGTAGTTTATATTTGCCAATGTCCTACCAGGAAACTTCTCAAGCATAAAGGTAAATTCAACCAAGTTATAGTAAGATACTGCAGAACAGTAATGGAATACTGCAATAATGACATTAGGTACCTGATATATGACATTGCTTGGAAGTCTCTTCTTTATTACTTCACTGCAAAACAAATTGGAGGCCAAGAAAACAAAAACACAAAAAGAAAAAAGGGACTCAAAGTTAATACGCTTTAAAATGCCACTTTCCGGGCAAATCAATAAGGAAACTAGTAACATTGTTGAAGCATAGCATTTTCTCAAGGTGCAAGGAAAACGATGTACAATTACCCCTACGAAAAACAGTGGTTCTTACAATGCTGAGGTGGTTGTAGTCGTCATCAACACAGCCACATCCGGCCTCCTCTCCAGACAGCACTTGATCACAGGTATGGCTGCCAATCCTTCACCTGTTCAAACAGAGAAAATAGTAACTTTGCCTGTTACAATTCGAAAAATACTGAAGGAAACAAAATGAATTACCCAATGAGACGGCGTGGAACCAGACGAGGCTACCGGCGGGGCGTAGTGCGGACGGGCGGCCGAGGCGTTCCGGCCACCTTAGGAGGTGCTCGCAGCCTCGAAATCGGCGCCACCGCAGATGGAGGCGAATTAGCGGCGATATGCCGTAGGTTAGAGCTCTGTAAAATCTGTACACTATTTCACCGCTTCTGGTTGCCATTTCAGTCGATCACCTCGCCTATCTAACTTCGGTTCATTGAGCTCAGTTCGGTAGGCAACCATTTCAAGCCAACAAGAAGACGGAGGAGGAGCCACCGGCCGGTTTAAATTTGGTAAAAAAATAATTATATAAAGTAAAAGTAAAACCTGATATAATAATGTTGGGACATCATGATTTTATTAATTTATATATATATAGATTTTATCGATAAATTAATAATTTATTAATTTAAAGAAGTTTTAACATGTATGCACAATTGACCTTCAAATTCAAAATTCTTTGAATAACTTTAAGTATACATGCATTGTTATTGATGAAAATTAAATTAAAATACAAATGTACTAGTAGAATCCAATGAACACAAACTCACGTGCAAGTTGGAATGACTTGTTTAAATTAATTGATTTTGAAAAATACGATTCATTAGTTTTGGAAAATAAAAAAATATGGTTCATCTTCAAGTGCATCATATATATATATATATATGGATTACTTTTAATAATTATTAACTTATAGTTTCGTGGGGACCAATATATATAAACTGAGATCTCAAAAAAATTACTATCTTATAATTTTATTGATTGGGTCCCAAATTTTTACTAGTTCCAACTTGGGACCAGACAAATTATTAGTTTTAGCGAGGTTATTAATTTATCGAGTATCAATTTAACGAGGTTTTACTGTAAGTTATTATTAGTTTTACTGCAATAAGGAATTTCAGATTTCTTATAAAATTTGATTAAATTATAAAGAATGTATATAATATGTAAAACTCTCTGTCGAAAAATCCTAAAACTATGGGCCTCGCGGCCCGTTTCCTAGAGAATCGCCGCCTAGAGGTATTGTTTTTTGTTGGGGAAGAGGCACTCGTCCTCTGATTAGGTCTCGTTGTGGTTCTGGTACTTTGACGGAGTGGCTGGCGGTCGATTTCCGGGTGTCTTCGCTGTGGCGGTCCTCCGCCGTTTCTTCGAGAGTGGGTTGTGGCTCCGATTTTTCCATTAGTGGGGATAGTGGTAGAGGGTTTTGCCTCTTTTCACTGTGTTTCTCTTCGGTCTAAGTGTTGGGCGGAGGGGACGACCAGCGAGGCGGGTCGAGGTCCGAGTTTCTGAGGTCTGGCTTAGGTGATTTTGGTGGTGAAGGTCTCCGAGTGTGGGTTGATGATGTCCGTTTGGATTGGAGTTGGGTTTTTCGGTATCGGACCCAGTTAGGTGTTCTTTTGTAGTTTTTGGATTGAGTTCCTAGGGCGTGGATCTGTCTGTAAGGATGGATGTCTGTTGGTGTTGTCGTCGTTTCGCCTGGTGTGGCTATCTAATGTAGGGTTGTTGTAGTTGTAGTCTTAGTGTTTTTGTGTTTTCGTTGTGTTTAAGTCGTGTTTTTATTTTTTTTCTTCTTCTTGGGAGTGCGTCTGGTGTCTTGTCCACTTGTGGAAGCTTTTGTTAGTCTCATTTGGAAGTTTTCTTGTGTTTTGTGTTGTTTTTAGGTTGGTTCTAGGCTACTGGCAGTGTAGTTCTCCCAACTAGATTCAACGGGTTAGTTGTTTTATTCGGTCGTGTGTTGTTATATTCGACTGAGTGGCTGCTCTCTAGTTTTGTTTGTTTTGTGAATATTTATAAATCCTATTGATGTACGTCGAACACCTTGACCAGCTTGAATTCGGCTCGCCTTTGTCTTCTTCACCAGTAGAACGCCGAGTACCTGAAAAAACTCTCACACCGGAGGAGTTTTCACTGGTTGATTCGGCTTTGTCGGGCTCAGGTCAAACTATCCCTGAGCTCGAGCAAAGCGTGAAGACCTTGGCAGATGAGAATCGGCTTTTGACTCAAGCTCGCCATGACTTGGCTCAAGAGCTAAAGAAAGAAAGACAACACTACCAAGACGTTGTTCGAGCGTGCGCTCAAGAGAAAGCGGCTAAAAAAGAAGATGAGCATCGAGTGATGGCGGCTGCCGCTGGCTGAGCTCGCCAATTGCTCTGGTATACGAACCTTGGCTAGCGTTTCCTGAGAGAATACTGCGAGCAAGTTGTTGCCGATTATCTTAAGTCATCGTTGTTCTTGAAGGAAATTCAAACACTGGGATCTGACTACTTCCAGGTCTGCATGGAGAAGGTGAGCGAGCAGATCGCCGAGGATGATTTCGAGGAGGACCTCAACACGGACAAAATTTTGGCAGCTCTACCTAAGGTTCCAAAAGAATTTCAAAAGTAATCCTAACTTGCCTCTCACTCATCCTTGGTGATAAAAAACTCTCGAACGGACTCTGGCCAGGTCCGCCGCGCTCAAGAAGAATTTTGATCTGCCGGAGACTAATATGCTGCCTGTTACAATGTCCACGGCTCTGGCAGAGTCAACTCGTCTGAGGCCCCTGCAAGAGTCAGAGGCATCGATCACTGTCTCATATCAACAAATCGAGCAACCTCTCGGGTCCGATGCAAATGCCGAGCAATCGATGAGAATTCCTATTGAGCAGGCTGCCAACGTCGAAGCAACTCCAAATGTTCCATGAACGCAATATTTAAACCTTTGCTCTCTTGTGTTTTCACAAACATTTGATGTGTATTTTGAAAGCAATGTTTATTTTCCTATATGCCATCTTGGGTTTTGCTTGTCTTGTTTGACCGTATGTTCATTCGTTGCCAGATTTTGACAAGTCATTGAGCTCACCTTAACTCCTCGAGAACAATTCCAATAATCGTCAATATGATTGGGTCATCAATTTTCGTGTTAAAACAAAAATCCATAAGGGTTTTCACCATGTTACTCTTTTAGTCGACCATCCACCGAGGTCATTTTAATTTGACGAATCCATACAATGAATACACCAACACAATTGTAAATCAATCATTCATTGGGACATCATATTTCAGTTCGATTTCATCACCTCGACCACTCGCCCACCCCAAAAGAGGTGTTCAAAACAAGCGGCCCCACGACCTTAATCATGGTGGATTTTTTGCTTCGACCACTTGCCCACCCCAAAAGGGATATTCACAAAAAGCGACCACCCAGTCTCACGGCCTTAATCATGGTGGATTTTTTTTCCTTCGACCACTTACCCACCCCAAAAGGGATGTTCAAAACAAGCGACCACCCAGCCTCATGGTGGATTTTTTGTTTCGACCACTTGCCGACCCCAAATGGGATGTTCAAAACAGCGACCACCCACCCTCACAACCTTAATCATAGTGGATTTTTTGCTTCGACCATTTGCCCACCCAAAAGAGATGTTCAAAACAAGTAACCACCCAGCCTCACGGCCTTATTAATGGTAGATTTTTGCTTCAACCACTTGCCCACCCCAAAAAGAGATGTTAAAAACAAACGACCATCCAGCCTCACAGCCTTAATCATGGTGGATTTTTTTCTTCGACCTCGTACTCGGGTCGGCACCCAGCTCGAAAGCCTTTATCATGGTGGATTTTTAACATATCAAAGTGACATGTCAGTGAGGTCACACCAAAACACACCAAACAAGATAACTTAATAATTCAATAATGTATAACGAAAAGATAGAACCCCATTAATTACGAGCAAAAAGATTAATTACACCATGGCTTGGCCAATGATCGTCCATCTGCGTCCTTCAATAAATATGTTCCTCCGATGTGGAACTTTTCGACCAAGTATGGTCCCTCCCAATTTGGCTCTAACTTGCCCACATGTTTCAGCACGTTGACTCTTTTCAACACCAAGTCACCTACCTGAAACCTTCGGATTTTCACTTTCCTGTCATGGGTTGCTCGCATTCTTTGCTCGTAGACCTAGACCCTGGTTGATGCCTGTTTTCTAAGTTCCTCGATCGCATCCAAGGCTGCTAACATCAACTCCTCATTCTGGCTGCGATCATATGCGCTCGACCTTTGAGATTATGAAATTATGTATCCCACTTCCCTTTGATGTTATTCTTGTCACTAAAAGACCTAACCCATGGTTTCTCATGGAGCAAGCAAAAGTTTTATTGTATGACTTGTTTAAGAAAACAACAATTGGACTCAGAGAAAATCTTATGACACTTTCTTCTTCTGCTTACGGATCTTCTTTTTATTCCTATTATCCACAACCGACGCCGCAAAAACTTTGCTTAGGCTTCAAATTATAAACCCTACAAAAATGTTAAGATCCAAAAAAACATGAGACTTAATATGATGAACTCGATCACTACTCATCCTCGAATCTCAGCCTTACGATTGCAAGACCACCAGTTCCGCCACTCGTAATCGATGTCTTGGATTGGTGGTAAAAATTGAATGTTACTTATTATGTTCCGTGCTTGATGGCCAAGTAGAATTTTGTTGTCCCGACCTCTACTGTGGCGTTTGAACAAACATTTAGTGAGGGTGGATATACGCAGGACACATGGCGGCTGAGGTTGACGACACAAAATTTTGAGGCTCAGATGCTGCTAAGTGATTGGTAAGGGGCCGAACAAAGGAAACAAACGGTCATGCTAACTACCAAAGATGATGACGAGAGTCAGATGGTTTTACTAGTAGTAGTGGAACCGTCAGAGCCGAAGACGGCGACTACGATTACTAGATCGTGCAACGCATCATTCCATAATCTTTCATCAAGATAAGTGAAGTAAATGAACTGCGAGGACTTTGATTTTCAAATAACGTATATATAAGGCAACTTAATTGACATATCAAAAGTTAAAATATTATTTTTTAACCAAAAAAATTTCAACTTAATTGATATTTTAAATTATAATATGTCAACTAAGCCAAATTCAACTTTTTTAAACAACCCCTTCCATTTTTTTAAATATCGGACCACCGGTTCAAGATGATTCCGATTCACATAAAATGCTCTGAACCGGCGTTTCTAAACTCGACCCAGTTTAAAGAAAAAATGCTTCAGTGTTTGTAATTTTTCTTTAGCTACTGAATTTCAAGATGTCTTATCTTTGATGAACAATTGTTCTTTTCATGTTTGGTAATTAGTAGAACTTTGTGACTTTAATGGTCTTTGAGGGGGCTCGTGTGTGATTGTCCTCGGGGTTTAGCAGTCTAGCTGATTGGTTAGAAATGCTAAAAAAGATACCAGTTGGTATTAAGGTTGTATCTCTTTGAGTTTAATACAAGTTGTTTTATTTA